CCTTCAAATGCCCACTTGGGGACTGTAAGCTCCAAAAAACCCAGTATATAGGCAAGACAACAACATCTCTTTCTAGGCGTTTAACGATGCATAAGCAACAGGGCTCCATTAAGGAACATATAATCTCTTCCCATAACCAAACCATCGCCAGAGAAATCCTAGTAAACAACACAGAAATCATCGATAGATACAGCGATAGCAGGCGGCTTGACGTTTGCGAGGCACTACACATCAAGAAGTCAACACCAGCAATCAACAGCCAATTATTGCACAACTATATTCTACCCACCTCAAGACTCCGCTCCAATATAGAAGCATCAAGAAATATGGACCAATAGGCTTTCTACAAACACTTCTATTCAATACCCATTGTTTTCTGTTCTGTCTTGTGTTGATACTTTTAATACCCTATTAATATCCCCTGTTCTGTCTTGTGTTAATGCCACATCATCCTTCCCACCTCACTCAAATGTAGATATAATATCAGAGAGACGTAAGTTCTAATCAGTTGTGTATTTGTGAAGTCTTTGAAAATGTAATAAGTTTTACGAAACGCGCCCGTGTCGCGTCAGACTAGAAATAAAAATGAATTTTGGAGAAGTGATTTTTGATTTACCTCCAACAGTGAAGCGTAATGTACGAAAGATTGAGAAAATTCGTGTTAGAATTATTAATCTTACTTTTTCGGTCATATTTAATAATATATGTCTATAGGAAAGAATATATATATATATATATATATATATATATATATATATATATATATATATATATATATATATATATATATATATATATATATATATATATATATGCCCGCGTGAATTAATAAACAAATAAACAAGCACACAGTGAGGGCTCATTTCATTCTTGTCTACCGGAATAATGGTCCCAGGGAGAGGGACCACTACTGGTGTAGGGGTCCCAGGGACGGTCCCAGGGAGGGTCCCAGGGAGGGTCCCAGGGGATGGTGCAGCCTTGAGCACTGCTAGATCAATGTTAGTCTGTATATTCGAAGATAATTATATTTTTTATTCGTATGAACAAACAACACTAGTTCTGTATTTACGATTTCTAAAAAATACTGTTTTTTTTTTATCACTTGCGTGTATGTTGATCATTGGTTGGTGGTGGTGGTCGTACAGTGGTGGCGAGCATGGTCGTACTGTGGTGGTGGTCGTACTGTGGGGGTGGTGGTCGTACAGTGGTGGCGAGCATGGTCGTACTGTGGTGGTGGTCGTACTGTGGGGGTGGTGGTCGTACAGTGGTGGCGAGCATGGTCGTACTGTGGTGGTGGTCGTACTGTGGGGGTGGTGGTCGTACAGTGGTGGCGAGCATGGTCGTACTGTGGGGGTGGTGGTCGTACAGTGGTGGCGAGCATGGTCGTACTGTGGTGGTGGTCGTACAGTGGTGGCGAGCATGATCGTACTGTGGTGGTGGTCGTACTGTGGGGGTGGTGGTCGTACCGTGGTGGCGAGCATGGTCGTACTGTGGTGGTGGTCGTACTGTGGGGGTGGTGGTCGTACCGTGGTGGCGAGCATGGTCGTACTGTGGTGGTGGTCGTACAGTGGTGGCGAGCATGGTCGTACTGTGGGGGTGGTGGTCGTACAGTGGTGGCGAGCATGGTCGTACTGTGGTGGTGGTCGTACTGTGGGGGTGGTGGTCGTACCGTGGTGGCGAGCATGGTCGTACTGTGGTGGTGGTCGTACCGTGGTGGCGAGCATGGTCGTACTGTGGTGGTGGTCGTACTGTGGGGGTGGTGGTCGTACAGTGGTGGCGAGCATGGTCGTACTGTGGTGGTGGTCGTACTGTGGTGGCGAGCATGGTCGTACCGTGGGGGGTGGTGGTCGTACTGTGGGGGTGGTGGTCGTACCGTAGTCGTACGACTGTTGTTGATAGTTCTCCCACAGGCGTCACCAGTCACAAAGCTAATCCAGCTCGTCCTCCTAACATTTCCCAACGTCAAGAAACTATCGTACTAAAGTGCCCTGATCCTAACCTACCAGAGGACCCAAAACAGAAAACGGAACAGGGCGTCAATGTCGCCAACCGCTTTCATTTTCTAGTACGACTACTTTTGGCCTTAGAGTATACGCTAAAATGCGACGTTCTATTAGTAGGACGAGTTGGCTAAACAGCATCACTATGTGTATATTATACATCATCCACATATTAAAGAGTATTTCAACATGGCGGAATAATCAATTACTTTACTAACCTCATCCATCTGGCCTATCTGGTGATGCGAACCAGGTTCCCCAATGGCGCGTCGCTGGTGGTGGCGGTGAAGGACTTCCGACCCCACACCTTCCTGAAGGAGGAGGACCATGCCGCGGACGGTAGCCGCTCCCTGACAGTCAGCGGACCCATGAAGCACCTCCTCGACACTCTCTCCTCCTCAATCAATTTCTCGTGAGTGATTTGTTGAGTTGAGCGTCTTATTTTTTGCGCGAGATGAATCGATTACGGAAGATGGAGTCGTGACCTTATTTCGTGAGGACGCTCTGGTACTCGGCGTTGCTCGGGGTGGTGGAGGCCCGAGGTCTTCAATACACTTTGTCTTCATCACTGTAACCATGAAGACAATGTGTACTTTAAGATAGTGATGAAGATAATGTGTATTTGAACCTGTACTTGCGGCTTGTGTGCTTGTGGTGTGTGTGTGTGTGTGTACCTGTGGATTGTTATGCTGCGTGCCTCGTACCTCTGTATTGTCGACAATGGTAGCGAATTGTTGGCTATAGAGCTCACCTTTTGATTGTTGTAACAGTGTGTGCTTGCAGATTGTTGGTTACTGATTGTAACCGTGAATTACGCTGTCACGTGATCCGGGGGGGGGAGGGTTATATGGCGCCGCCGTGATGAAAAGCGCGCCAAATGTGGCCAAGTCGTTAGTGGTTATTCTGGTTGGTGAGTTCAACCCAGTGCGATGAATCACTCAGATTCATCAAACATATTAAGTGTCCGTTTCTTTTAAGGACAAGAGAAGCTAACATTTAATATGCTAGACGAATGTTAGTGAGTATGGAATCATTTAATTGAATAAATCTTAATGATGATTTTTTTTTTTTATTTAGCAGGATTGGAAATTAGTGTTGTTTGCCATTTTATGCAAAGAGGGGGACATTGGGCCTCTATCCCGACCTCTCTATGGCCATCTAGACAATTCTCCCCTCAAAGTTTGGTGAGGCTAGCCCCAAGCATCTAACCCCACAATCTGGAACAAACGGCTAGATTTACATTAAAATAATTGTTTATATGCAGATGAAGAGTCACGATAATGTGGCTGACAAATGTTGACCAAATCAGTAGTAGCAGTAGGCATCCATCAGTCTCAGGAGACTATGGAGTTGCGCTCTGGTTGTCGGTCTGGAGTGGCCTCACCAGGGCGCAAAGCCAGGGTAGCTTGATACGGGGGAGAAGCTGTTACCCAGGCAGCAGGTCCCCCCCCCCTCTCCATCAAATCACACACTAGAAAATGTATGGATTTTCCACACAATGTGAGACAGATTGTTCATATGTCTCATTACACCCATCTCTGTTGATTATTGCTAACGTGACTAAGTATTTCCTCTCATAACAACGTAATATCTGAGGTGTGAGGGGTGAGGAGGTGGAAGCATTTCAGTAACTATATCAGAGGTGCAGTGGATTCTCTTCTCCGACGGGAGACATCTCCCGTCATGCAGGGTGCAGTCGCACCTCCACAGATTTCCAGTATCAGCTCTTGATACTGGTAATGGCTCAAAAGGCCCACCACTTACGGGCTATTCATGCCCGTGCCACCTTTTGGGTGACTTAATCTTCATCAATCAATCTTCTCTTCTCCCATGAACGTGTAGGCCATGAAAAGGGACAACCACGACCATCAGCCCACAGTCCTAGCACTACAGCTCCCACCTAGGTGTGCACTGTCGTCGATCTCAATGAGATCAGTAAAGGATACAGGCCATTGCCTGGCCCAGGATTCTGGAGGTCGTGCACAAGTCCCCCGAGTAATATGGACATGTTTTTTGTTATAGGGTGAAGAGTTATTTTTCCTCAAGAGACCGAGTATTATTGTGTTGTCATGGGAGGACAAGTTAGTGGAGGCAAAACCCACGGACAGTCGGCTAGTGACGGAGTTATCAGTCTATGGTAACTTGCGTGCGGCAAGTAACTTCACTCACTGTACTTTGAATCATCTAAGGAGAGTCGGGACGTCTGGACAAGTACTTGTCTCCTTTGTATTAGTACAAAAGGGCTTTCGTAGCAATAAACACCGAGCTTACTTTAGTTCTGAACTATGCTGACAAAATAAGTCTTGCTGGTAAACCAGTAAGCTGTTGTGGTAGCCCCAAAACCCCTCCTGTGGTTGATAGGTCATAACCCCAACCCCCCCCAAAAAATTCTCTCAGCTGCTGTATTTCTCATTTAAGTGGCCGCCTCCTTCTGTACCTCATCTTGTTTATCATCCCCCACTGCTGCAGGTACACGTTGGTGGCCTCTCCTGACGGTACCACGGGGAACCACCAACCCAACGGTACCTGGACTGGAATGGTGGGGATGCTGATTAGAAAGGTGAGTCAACTCTTATTCTGGAGGATGATGAATCTCGTGGATAGGCAGATCGGTTAATCCTTAATATTGAGGGTATCAGTGGAGGATGGTAGATTGGTGGCGCGGCATGTGAGTCGATAATTTCTTCAGGGGCCTGTGGAGGGTGGTGGGGCTGGAGGCTAGGAAGGGGAAGTGGAGGATTATAGGCCTGGAGGATGGATAGATGGGGTGAAGAAGGGATTTATGCCTGTGTCCTAAACACAACTACTAACGTACAACATACTAGCAGCTAGGCAAGGTGTCCCACTGATGGTGAACATTAGCAAACTTTCATAGTAAATATTGTGTATCTATCTTCTCTGTGTATTTTTGTTATAGTCATGAAGTAGGTACATGATTAAAGAATAACCCGGTTCCTGGCCCACCTCCAGGAGGCAGACATGGCCTTGGGACCTGTCGTCATGACGGAGTCGCTCACCGAAAAGGTGGACTTCTGCCAGCCGGTGGTGATGGACTCCCTGCGGGTGATGGGCCTTCGAGGGACGCCCGAGGTCGATCTCTGGGGGTTCGTCCTGCCCTTCCGGCCGACGGTGTGGGCAGCCATCGGGGCAACGCTGCTGGTGGCGTGGGCGACCATGACGCTCATGATGAAGCTGGTCTTCTCCAGCAACACCGGGCGACACAACGCTAAAAATATTGCTCGATGGACACCTTTCAGGATCTTCTTTGAGCACCTGCGCATCCTGCTGCTGCAGAGTGAGTGTGTAGAGTGAGTGTGCAGAGTGAGTGCGCAGAGTGAGTGCGCAGAGTGAGTGTGCAGAGTGAGTGTGCAGAGTGAGTGTGCAGAGTGAGTGTGCAGAGTGAGTGTGCAGAGTGAGTGTGCAGAGTGAGTGCGCAGAGTGAGTGCGCAGAGTGAGTGTGCAGAGTGAGTGTGCAGAGTGAGTGTGTAGAGTGAGTGTGCAGAGTGAGTGTGCAGAGTGAGTGTGCAGAGTGAGTGTGCAGAGTGAGTGTGCAGAGTGAGTGCGCAGAGTGCCGTCGGGTGTCCTGTATCTCCATACTCTCCCGCCACTTCGTCTTTCCCAAGCTCTAACACCTTGAAAACACCTTGACAAATTGTCATTCAAAACTTAAAAGCTTAGTTAGAAACAATATATACAATAAGTCAAATTATAAATAATACGTGTGTGTATCTTTTCGTTTCTTCACAGTAGCTTAAAGACGTTACTTCACTTTGAGAGTCTTTTAAAAACTTGCCGCACTAAGTGCAGCAAATGACTGGTTCCTGTAACTAAACCATCCTTACAGTGTGATGTATATACTCTGCTTCGTAATCTTTGTAACCCCCCCCCCTCCCTCTCTCCCCTTCCAACACACCCCCCTACCCCTTCCGTCACCCCCTTCCCCTTGCATCACCCGTCCAATCCCTGTCTCTTTCCTCTCCGACAGACAGGGAGTTCGCTGTCTGGCGAGGGTGGCAGTTCTTGGTGTTCGGGTCGTGGATGGTGGTGGCCAACGTGGTCCTGTGGAGTTATGGCGGGAAACTCATATCGGGCCTGACGGTGCGGTCCGTTGCCCAGCCACTCCTCTACCTTCAGCAACTCATCTACCACTCCAGTGTCGTCGCCGTCCTCGAGCACGACACCGCCTACATCCAGCTCTTGAGGGTGAGTACTGTGGGGTCGGGGTGTAGAGAGTGGGTATACTTTAAGGCGATGGGTGAGTGAGACAGAGATGAAGATAAAGAGAACTCTTTAGTACTTCCCGTGCCCTACAGTTGGGAATAAGATAAGATACCAAACACAACCACACTGGTAAAGCCAAAATT